TGTGTGTATGGGTGTGGATGTCTGCCGCACAGCTTAACCTCTGCATCTACATTTAGATGCTATGTTGAATTCTTTATCATGAGAATGTACAGCAGTAGCAACAGTTATTTCCCCGGTAGCTTTGAGAGTTTTCAGCCACCTCACTCCACATTAATATTTCCTGTCATAATATATTGGAAACCATGAATTATTAATTTTTATATTCATACTATCATTATTCATAGAAATAAAAATCAATTCACAAGGTTGAGATCCTGGCGTGCACTGCCAGGGTTTGTGAGCTGATTTCATTTACTCTCTGAGCTGTCAAATTGCAGATAATGCTCATCTTTTTTTTTAAATCTCCATATTAAATGTTTCCCATTTAGGTGAATAGGCAAAGTGGTTTCAGAGTTTTAAACCCCGCTGTATGTTCATGTGCTCACTTTTAAGTTTAAGAGCAACTTGGAAACCAAGCGTTAGTTGTGATGTTTTCTGTTGGTTTGGGCTTTTCCAAAGAAAAGACCTTAATCTGCCAACGCTGGGAGTTGACGTCGCTTCAGTCATTTTTTCCATTTGGCTTTTAGCACTTGCGTTTCTTTGTGTCTATGCTGTTGATCAGGGGCCCAAACTGAATCCCTGTAATGTAAAGAAAAACACTCAAGTGTACCTTGACGCGACGTAATGGAAAGTGTTTGGTGCAAAGGTGAGGACGCTCACTCACTTACGGTTTAATTCTGAGAACAGACCATGCCACCTTCACTCCCAGGTTAATTTAACACAACTCACAACTAAGTAAACTTGTCACTGACAGAGAGGTTAGGGTCAGGCCTTGTGCACAAAAACAAATCCTACGAGAGTGATGGTTCCTCTCTACACTCTCATATTCACTCTGTCTGCAGCATTACAAAGCACATCAGTCATCCACACGTCTCACACCGGTGTTTTCTGCCAGATAGACCCATCAGCTGCTCTTTTGCAAACATAAAAGCCTTTTCTCTTCCCTGTCAGGCCACAGGAATCAGCTTACAAGGTGGATGCTTTTAGTGTTGTTTTTATAAGGTGAAGAAGTTGTTCACTGTTCTGTCTTTGATTGGACAGATCGTGAATGTGTGCACCTATAAAATCTGCTGATAGGAGCCTGCATAAACAAGACCCCAGGAGTCTAAAAATGCTGAGGCAATCATTTCAGAGCTTTGTAGTTTTGAAATGATAAAATATAGCTTATTGCTTTTTTACTCACATGCTCGAATGTGTTAATACACACAGCCGCGAGTGCATGCGAGAGGATTTCTCTGCATCTGTTGTCTTCGTCTTCTCGTGTCAGACAGCGACGGTGTCACTCCGTTTAGCTCAGCTGCCTCGCGGAGCTTAAACCTCCTCTCAGGGGAGAAGCCCTACTTTCCCCCCGCGCCGCTCTGGGTCGGCTCAGTCTGACTCTGCCGGCTGTCGGGAGCAGACGTCTCCACTCTGTCAGTTGCTGTAATACTCATGATCAAAGTTTGGCAAGAATAGCATCGTCACCCGTAGCAAATCTGCTTAGATGAAAGTGCAACAGAGGGAAATTTGGATCATGTGGAAAAAAACTCCGGAGCTCCTTGAGGAAATTCATTATCCTACTCAACAAAGTGTTGTTTTAACAGGATTAAGAGCGATTCTGTGTCAAGGAAGGAGCGCGTCATTTGTTGTTCATGCCCAGAACATAGTGAATTCAAGGACAAATGTATCTGAGGCAGCTGAGGGATGGTTCACGTGTCTGCACAGAGAGCTGCTCTCAGACAGGTTGACTTGTATCCTCTCATGCCAAATCTTTAGTGTGAGGATTGTTCATTGCTTTATGTAAAGTTGCATTTAGAAATAACGGCATTTGTTGAAATTTCCGTTCTTCACTGTGAACTGCTGTGACCTCCGTGTCAGATAGTAAGCAGTCTGAGAGGAGCTCCACCTAGAAGGAAGATGGAGCTTGGTGGTGTAACAAGCAGAGTTGAAATCCATATAAGAACTTTACTAATAAAACAGTGCAATTAATCCCCAGTACATAATCAGCAATGGCAGCAGTTATAAAGTTTTAAAGGAAAACTGCCGCCCTATCACAAACAAGCAAACAGCTACAGCTGACCTGGCTCGTTTTGTGTTTGGAGTCGTGCGCGGCCCCGTTTCTTCTTGTCAGCGACAACAAAGGGAAAACAGATACGAGGCAACATCAGAAGTACCCTCACATACCTCCACCAGTGACAACTTGTCTCTGCAATGTCAGGATGCAGCCGCCAGCAGCTGTCTGCTCGACTTTTATCTTCTTTCCTCTCTGATACAGATCCCTCAGTCTTTGTCTTTCACTGTCACTGTCTGTCTCTCCATCTTGCTGCCTTTTGGCACCCTCTCTGACTCTGTCACATCGCTCCCTCCATCACATCCGTCTCTGTGCCATCATATTGCCGTCTCGTACTTCTACAGTGTGAATGTCAGCAGCATGTTTGGCTTATAAGATTTGATATTTTAGAGCAAATAGCAACCAATTAATATTAAGAGGGAGCTTGACTGGGAGGTTTTAGAAAAACCTTTAAACTCACATTTGAATTCATCAGAGAAAGGAAACTAGTCACTGCAAATAATAAGACAATGTAGACTGAAACAACTTCATTTAAACATTTGATAACTTTGTAAAAGCAGAGTTTCAGCAAGAAATCCTCCAAACTGGTTTCCAAAGCTGGCATTAAACAAAAAATGAGTTCAACATGTTCACTATTCATTCATTCAAGTAATCAAATTGGACTGTGTTGATATATTTTGCTGTCTGTTTAGTCAGTGCACATATCGTCCCTCCCCTGCGATGACAAGATAATAGGAAACTTTAACTCTCCAGGATGGAGGCGACATGCAGAATCAACGCTTGCATGTGTGAAATGACCCATGGGGAATGTGCTATAAACAGCTGGATGGTCTAATTACAAGCTCTGGTTCATCACCGCTAATCGCAGCGGTTTCAGCTCAGGGAGGTTTTGTTGATTGATTTCCTGCGGGAGGGAAAAAAGTGAGAGGTAGTTGAACAATAACTTTCTATCATAAAGGCCACATATGGTAATATTTCAGTCAGTGTCACCTCCTACAAAGAGAACTTTTCTTGAGAAGGATGCATAGGATTTAATGAGAAGCCACAACAGCAGTCGGCCTCGCTAAGCAACATGTGAATGATGGGAAACACTCAACAATAAGTTAAATTATGTATGAAGCAGTTAGCCACATGCAAAATTTTCTTCAGTAACATTCCACCACCTCAGTCAGCACAAATGTTGAAGAGCAACGGAGATGCAAATTAAAACGACCCAACTCCATCTATTTTTTTCCAGCTTTCTCTGAATAGAAAGTGGTTCAGTCAGACTTTTCTCCAGACGTTCCTCCTAACTCAAGAGGTTTCGTTTCCATGCTGCTGTTTGTCTGTTTTTCTGTCTATTATGCAAAAACGTCTGAGCCCGTTTTCTTGAACTAGGTGAAAGGATGTAGATTTGGGATTGAGATTTTTATTTAAAAATATCTATGAAAGGATGAAACTGTAGCATACATGGTGATACGGTGGCCGATCGGCCTTGGTTTAGATATGTGCTCTTCAGTTGCTCTTCTAGTTTCCTGATTAAATAAGCTCCAGTAGCTCGGATGTCCTGATCTTTCTGACCTCATTAACTCCAGATCACGATCAAATCGCAAATGTGATTCAGAATTGATTTGAAGAGAATCAACATAAATCTGATAGAGGACAACACAGGGATTTTGGGGACTCTAACTAAGTCATTAGACATTAGAACCATGAGTGTGCCCATATATTTTCATCCTCTGCAGAAAAGTAGAAAACATTTGTGGCTGATCCTGTGGTTTAAAATGTCCATCCCATTTCTTAATATATTAAATACCAAGACTAGAATGGCACTCAGCAGAACTCATACCTCCGGCATTTCCCAATAATCCTCTAAAATTCAATCAAGCTGCACATCATAGATATCACTTCCATAAATACACCAGATATTTTTCTGGGAATTATCCTCTGGGAAAATGGTGAAAAACCTACAATGTGAAAGAAAGTGAAAAAGAATGAATCCGCCCCCTGATCAAGATCCGCCTCAAAACTTAATGGGTTCGTTTTGGTGATCATCCATTCAGTAGTTTTCGTGTCATCTTGCTTACAAGCAGACAAACATAACGTCCTCTCGTGGAGGAAATAACCCCCACACACTTATCGTTTCTCTCATGTGCAGGGCAGCAGTGTCAACACTATGCCTATCTCATCTCTTATTAATTAACGGGGAGACTTTGGCCTGAGGTGACCCCCGGTGAGATCCCTTCACAAACACAGAGTCATCAGCGGCATTAATTAGAAAAGGCGAGAAGCTGTCGGAGGGGGAACCGGCTCTTGAGCAGGACCACTCTGGAAAAAGGAGGATTGATGACCAGGAAATCAGAAATCTAATGTGGAGTAATTCACTGTGGGTATTAACCTGTGCTGAGGAGTATTACTTCAGCAGCAGGAGAGGTTGCAGGCGTCCGTCTGCGCTGATGAAACATTCATTAACAGTGGACGCTGGGTCAGGTGCTGTCGAAGTTCATACAGTCTTTGTCCCTGTGTCCAAATGGGACGGATCCTTGATTAAACTGACACTGATGGGTTTTCATTAAACTTTTTGTTTTCAGCGCTTCAAACACTTTGAAGCGCTTCGTCCTTTCCTCCGCTATTTTCCTGACTGCATTTTTTTTCTTCCCTCCCTCATGTTCATCTAAATGCTGTAGTCGCTCTCACTGTAATCCTCCTCTTTATTCATGTCATTAGATTTAATGCTGCGTCTCGTCCTTGTCAAGTCCTAGACAAGCTTTTCTTTCCCTGAAGCCCTCTCTGTGCCCGCCCCCCTCTTGTCTCTTAACTCAGGATGTTCTTTTTTATTTTACTTTTTACAGCTTTTCATTCTCCATGTCTTCCTTTTGCTTTTCTAACAGCCACATGTCCTCCCTCTCTTTTGTCTCTGTGCTGTCACCAGGCGTGGCTGACCGAGATCCATGAATACGCCCAACAGGATGTGGTGCTCATGCTGCTCGGAAACAAGGCAAGGCATTATGGGAAATATTTGTGACCGTGTGAAGACACCGTAGCTCCATAAAAGTGAAGCTTAATGTTAATGGATGGAACATAGACCAAAGTCAAGTCCAAATAAATAACTATTGAAAGTTCTCATCACACAATGTATGTTCCAGTGTTCATCTGTGAGTAAATTAATTAGTTATTTGATGATATAACTGAGTTGTGTGTGTGTGTGTGTGTGTGTGTGTGTGTGTGTGTGTGTGTGTGTGGTGGTTCTACATCTGATGTTGTTATATTTCATCTCTGTTCTCACCGTCTCTCCAGGCGGATGCCACTCACGACAGGGTGGTGAAGAGAGAAGATGGAGAGCGGCTTGCTAAGGTGAAGAATTGAGAAGGTGGCAGCCTCCGCTCCCTCGAGGCCACAGCTAAAATAAACTGCTACCAGTGTAGAGAATTTCAAAAAAGACCCCTGTGTGGGACCTTTTGGATTTCTTGATCAGTTTTCACTCTTGCTCCTTATCTCAGTCTCTCCTGCTCTAAAGAAGGTGTATCACCTGCAAACTAAAAAGATAAGACAAAGAAATACCACACACTTCAGATAGTGACAATTTCATGAATATTTACTTTGGAAATTTCCACCCTGTGGGTCATCATCCATGAAAGTCTTAGTATCAAAACATGTCGGTTATTTCAGTTTCACAGTTCTTGCACAGCGACAAATACAACCACGCACTGACAGCAGGAGAAAAGGATTTTTTTAATCTGCTGGACTGTTGCTACACAGCCCACAAAACAAACCGCAAACAGCTGAGTGATTGTCTACAGAAGTGGGAGCAATAAAAAGCCACTGAGTAACTAAAGGGAAAGAAAGAGCATCAGTTACCGTCACCGAGACAAACTCCTCTGCAGAGGAAAAGCAGGGAGGCGAATCACTTCAGAGCTGGATGTGTTCGACATAAACAATTTCAGAGCACAAACACTGAGCTGAGAAATTCTGATGGAAGCTTTTGTTGTTTTCATTCAACAGCCATTTTTTTTATTTTCGGTGCAGAAATACCAACCTGTTACAGTGAGTTACGTTTTCATCTGTTTCTGTGAAGTTCTCCTGTAACTGTCTCTGCTCTGACACTGCAGGAGTTTGGAGTTCCCTACATGGAGACCAGCGCCAGGTCGGGTCTCAACGTTGAGCTGGCTTTCACTGCTGTGGCTAGGTGAGTATCATCCTGTCTGTAAGTATTGTTCGTTGGTCAAGTTAAGACATGTTTTGGAATTTTAATCAACATGGTATTTACATAAAGGTGGATTTAATAAGACACCACTTTACTGTTATTAGGAAACATTAAAAACTAGAATTTCCGCCTCTGCCAAACCAACACGGTTTCAGTTATATATCATTTTCTTTAAGACTTTTCAAGAATAGTTTGAGTCCAAGTGACAACAAGTCAAAATTTGAAGGACCTCACTTCAGGATTTATTTAAATATCTAATCGGTTTTACCAAATTTAAAGAAGTTCCCTCTAGATGATCTCAGAATTATGCATTGAAAGGCGATCAGAGGACAACCTGAAAACATAATGTCTCCAGGCTGTTGGAGGCATAAATGAATATCAAAGTTCATGTACAACCCAAACCCTCTCAACTCAAGGTTAAAGGTAACCAAAATAAGATTTTAGAGATTAATAAAGCAACCAACAACTATTTGGAGTAATGGCATCCTAAGTGGAGAATGAAGTCGCACTTCCTCTGTTCTTTCCCTGCAAACATTTCATTAATTCCAGGTCTTCGGCACAGCCTCTCTGTTGAAATGATGTGCAGGTTGCACCCAAACCACAAATCATCCATAACCCCATCTAAATTCTTCAAATGTTACTTCTTTTTTTTTTTCATTTGTCGGCATCATGGTCTCAACGTGCACTGAATTTCAGATTCAGCAGTTGGATCACGATTGGCCTCCAAACTAGTTGTCAAAAAGTTCTACACTCATACATACACATAAAGTGATATTCAAGGTGAGCACAGAGAAACATTGCTCCTGCAGCAGAGGAATATGAAAACAGACGTCTAGTTTCAAACATTGGACACACATGATTCTGCACAGTGAAGGTCAAACGCCCAGGTAATATTAATGGGTGGGCTTTTTTGGGGAGGGGGTCTGAGCATTTGTTTTGCTTATGGTGGGTGACCTCTCTGTGTTTAGCCTCATCTTATCCTTTTCTTTTGTGTCAGGGAGCTGAAGCACCGGTCCCTGAAGGATCCCAGTGAGAAGTTTAAGCTGCAGGAGTACGTCAACAAGGAGATGAAGGGCACTGGGTGCTGCAGATCTTAAAGCCTGCTGCAGTCTGTGTGTGTGTGTG